GCTTTGAATTCTACACCTGTTGCCAGCCACATATTTTAACCCTGGAAAAAATGGGCGTGATTACATGAAAATGTGTGACCAGTCACAATCTTTGATAGAAGACCGGCAGGAATGAGGAATCTCGTAAGCGTTTCACCTCTTTCATATCCCCCTAGACAAAATGTGTATTTAAGTCTTGCAATGCAGAGCGGGTCCACTGCAAGAGTTAATCAGAAAAATGTGTTTTTTACCACAGAAGGTTAAAACGAAGTGCTGTGTGTAAACAGGGTTTGGAGAGTCAAAATGAAGTACAAAACAGTAGTTTATTAATTAAAACAATTGTCTAGTAGTTAACCAGATGCACCATTAGAACCAACAAACCCAACACAATTAAAAATTAGTTATTGCAATAACCCATTCACTCAAATGCACACAAACATTCTATGGGCGAGCTGATCAGCGTAATATGTTTCCGGGTGGTCCTCAAGTGGTTTGAGGACACAGCGTTTGGACTATAACTGTAGAAAGGACTTAATGTCAAATGCCTGGGATTTCGTTCTATGGTATCTAAGTATTTCTGTACATTTTATAAAGGTAATGATTTCGTGAGTTGGTAGTATCGTTAATTAAGTGTTTCCAATAGATCAATCTTTAAGAGTACAGAGACATAGATGGAAGTCCGATGATACAAGGGGAAGTGTAAACCTCAATTATAGTTACACTTAACCAAACAGATGTATAGAGTCTCGAATATATTGTACTCACGAGTGTTTGGTTGCTTTAAACTGGCAGTCCGTCTTTCAGTGTATGGTATGGCTCGATGCTGCGATACTCCAGTTTGTCCTCACTGATGTTTCCACTTGCAGAGGAGATTAGAAAATACTCTGATGGTTTCCTTCAAAGTGTGAAGGCGTAGTACAAGGTCCCAGATGCATTTGAATTTTTGTCAGTAATCCTTCGTCCCGCTGTTTGTGTAAACCACGGCCGGGGAATTGTGTACCTGACATGCAGGTAATCAGTCAGCTTAACGGCCAAAATCGGATGACGCGTTTCGCCCCTCCTTCGTTAACGGGGCTTCGTCAGATCCTGGTGGGTTAGTGACACACGAGGTTTTTATTCTTTTTCCTCATGTGTTTCCTATAACCCATTGAGTGCAAGATTTGGTGAGGTATTTACAAGATTGCATACACATGTATATAAATTTAAGATAATATTCAAAGAGAGGGGGGAGCGGGTTAACCATTTTGCCTATTAGTTATTGATAATGCTAGCCCAAGAGGTAGACCAGTCTAACGATCGTGTGGAGATATTACAAAGTCTATTGTTCAAGATCATATTTTCACAATGGGTAATTGACATTTGATTTAATTATTAAGTTAGATTTGATTAAGTCTAGTATGTCGTCACACCAGGACTATCTACAGGTGAAACTCGAATAATTAGAATATCGTGCAAAAGTAATTGCAGTAAGTGCTGCAAAAGGGGCCAAAACCAAGTACTGAGTACATATGCATGCTTGTACTTTTCAGAGGTCCGATTATTGTTCTATGTACAATCCTTGTTTTATTGATTGCATGTAATAATCTACTTTTTTGAGATTGTGGATTTGGGGTTCTTGGGGTTTTCATGAGCTGTAAGCCATAATCATCACAATTATGACAAATCATGGCTTGAACTATCTTGCTTTGCATGTAATGAGTCTCTCTCATATATTAGTTTCACCTTTTTAAGTTGCGTTAGTGAAATAAATGAACTTTGCACAATATTCTAATTATTCGAGTTTCACCTGTATACTTGACATTTGGTACAATCTAATACTTGGAAAGGGGCTATTTGGGTAATTCACCTTTTAACTATTATCAGTACTGACACCGAGATTGGATTAGTATAAGGTTGTGTGGACACACTGAAATTCCTTATGTTAAAAATAATCTCTTCACCATGATTGATGGGTATTTAGTTTTATAAATGAGTTGAATTATATGTTATGAAACCTGAGGTCAGATATTGAGCACACAGGGATTGTCCTTGCTTGACAGTTCATATAGATTATTAACCGCTTAAGTTCTGGTGACAGGCAAGTTAGCAGCTGGGAGGGTTCGTTTTGTATTGTATGATCAGGTGGGATGAATACAACGCGAGACTCTATACATCTGTTTGGTTAAGTGTAACTATAATTGAGGTTTACACTTCCCCTTGTATCATCGGACTTCCATCTATGTCTCTGTACTCTTAAGGATTGATCTCCAATCAAGCACCTTACTTTGATTACTACCTGCTTCCACTTTAAGAATTAAGACTATTGGAAACACTTAATTAACGATACTACCAACTCACGAAGTCATTAGCTTTTATAAATGGACAGAAATACTTAGATACCATAGAACGAAATCCCAGGCATTTGACATTACCGGTAAGTCCTTTCTACAATTATAGTCCAAACGCTGTGTCCTCAAACCACTTGAGGACCACCCGGAAACATATTACGCTGATCAGCTCGCCCATAGAATGTTTGTGTGCATTTGAGTGAATGGGTTATTGCAATAACTAATTTTTAATTGTGTTGGGTTTGTTGGTTCTAATGGTGCATCTGGTTAACTACTAGACAATTGTTTTAATTAATAAACTACTGTTTTGTACTTCATTTTGACTCTCCGACCCTGTTTACTAGCTGCACTTCGTTTTAACCTTCTGTGGTAAAAACAAATTTTTCTGATTACGTCCTGGGTCGGCAGCTGTGGGTCGTGTGTTCCGAGAGTCATGAATGAGTGAAATATACTCTGACTTATCTCGGGTGTGGTACTCTGGGTACAATATCCTCTTTTTCCACTGCAAGAGTTACTTATTTCCTAGCCTGGAGTTCAGCTTTAACCAAGTGTTGTACATTTATAGACCAGCTACTTTATGTATGAAAGTGCGTCTAAAAGATGTTCAGGATGTTGGTGACTGTGCAGACGTTGAGCTGTTGGGGCGCCCTTAATTTCTATCAGTGTGTTCCTTAAGCATGTGATCCCAGCTTATACTGGGAGGAGTTCACTTACAAAACGTTATCCTGCAGATAAGGGACAGCTTTCAATATTTAGCCACGTTTTCTGCAGTTTAATAATTATTAGGAGACAGAAGTTTCTCATTTAGAGCCACTTCACATCTCTGCATTTACCCGAGTGGTCCATTGTATGTGATTCCATAGGAGAGCAGCTCACATTCTGGTGCTTGAGAGTGGCTGCTGTGTGTGTGAGAGAGGAGTAAGCAAGCAAGTGTTCCTTTTGCATTAGATCATCCCCTATAAAAATAAGCATCAGCTGGAGGGGATCCAATGTTAGGTATTTTATTTATGTCCGGAGTTCTGCTTGAACCTTTTTTAAAAGTAAAGCTCCTGTCTGATATCTGAGCCCAGAAGATGCTTGTTACTTCCATTATTAGCCAAAAAAGCCTCTTCTGTGCCTCTTCCTCCTTTTACTTTATTAATGGGACCTGACTTACCTTGGCTCCTTGGCTAACCATCGCCAGCCACCATTATACCTCTCCATGAGATAATACACATTACTTATTCTAATAGAGTAAAAATGAAGCTACAATTGGGTTTTTTAGTTGCATGACGTCACGTCATTGGCATACATTACATTATACTATGTGGTAAGCTATTTACTTCAGTTAACACCTTCCTGCTGGCCATATGCATATATGCAGCAGCATGAGGGGGGCGCTTAAATGCTGGGCTGCCATATTTAGGCATACAGCCGGTGCTGCTGTTCTGTGCTGTACTGACAGTTCCCGGTCACTGTTTATAATTGAGAGTCGGTAGGATGAGCTCCTGATCTTGTGACTGCCAATTGCAGTGATCACATAATCAGAAATCCTGCCTGTTGCTCCGACGTTCAGAACTCGATGGGAGGGGATTAAAGTGTATGCAAAACTTCAGAAAAATTTAGCTATCCTAAAGGTGGCCATACACTCTACAACCATCGCAAGACTTTAGTCTTGCGATGGTTGTAAAGGGATTAAAAAAACGTACGATCTGCCTATCTTGGACAGGCAGATCGCACTCTCGATCATCGCAAGCCCGCCCCCCTGAGGGGCGGGCTTCCGATGACCGCAATGCTGAACGGGCAGTGTGCGTGTGCGCACACCGGCCCGTTCAGCATTTATCTTCCGAGCACCGTTCTAACCAGCCGAGAATCGTACGATTCCCGGCTGGTTTTCGAACATGCTGGTTCGACAGAAGACGTGCGACCGTACAGTAGAAACGGTCGCACGTCTCCGTTCACACTGCTCGATTATCGTACGAAAAACCGATCGCATACGATTATCGTACGATAATCGTGCAGTGTATGGGCATCTTTACACTTTACATTTTTAAGTCCTCTAGCTTATAGTGCATCCAGAGCCCACCTTTTTTCTTTTAGCTTATGAGTCCTGAGGGGTTAGCACTCGTGTCAGGTTTTTGTTGTTTTCTGTGTCCCACTGGGGAGATTAGCCTCTTTATTTGTACTGGTGAGTATTGTCATTCAGATTGGAATGTAAGGGGAAAATTCAGAGTTTTCATTTGTCACCAAAGCATGCTTTTATAGGTTTTTTTTTTTGCCTTCCTCTGGATCAACTGTAGGTAACGTTGGGCATAGGGTTCTGTTTCTTTCCCCCTCTCTGTTGGTTGAATTCGATGGCCTTTGGCTCTTTTCAACCGAACTATGTAACAGGAATAAAGGGAAAACCTTGCAATGGGGAGTTGCACTAACAACTGTCTCTGAGAGAAGATCACTCACAGATTTTTTTTTTTTTTTTCTTGTTTCCTGTTCTGTTCATTGAACAGCAAATTAATGCAAATCTCCCCAAGGAGACATAGAGAGCAAAAACATTAACAGGTGTTTTAAGTTCCCTTTTGACTGGGGTAGATCATGCTCACCAGAAAAAAAATTGTTCTAGAGAAGCCTTTAAGAAAGTGTAACATAAATCCATTATAATGTAACTGTTTCTTATGTTGTGTATCTCTTTTTAAATTTACAGTGTCAAATGAATACAATGTGACAAAACACAAATTATCCATTGCCAAATATGGAGTGGTTGATAGACTCGGTTGAGAAAGAACTTGGAATTGATCAGAAGCAACTTGCTATATCTGAAACTGGTAGTCATGTAATCGCTCTTGTATCTCAAAAATGGCTTTTGAACCTGAAAGAACGCAGATCAGTTCCACTGCAATGCCCTAAGTCTGAAGGATTTAGCAGTGTAGAAATTAAGACGTTTCTACAGCGTTCAGTCCAAAAATTACCTGCTGGCTGGACAAGAGTAGAGATTCACGGACTGAAAAAAAGTAGGCTGGCCTACTCGTTGGCTTTAAACAATGGTTTCTTACAAGGACAGAATGGGGACTCTGCATCATTGTTTAGTTTTATGAACAATGTGGCAAATCAAAACTATAAGAACATGTGGTACAAAGCCCAAAGGAGGTATGTGCAGCCCTATGAAAATGTAACTAAAGTGCCAAGCATGCAGGCATTGGATGCTTTGAAGCTGTCTCTCCAGAAGGTCTATGGTTGCCCCTTCATTGTCACAAATAAAGCACATGCCAGTCTGTCTCCTTCCAAAGAAAGTGCCAGTTTTGTTGCCGGGGCTCCTACTTGCCCCAATATTGTCCCAGCTGAAGCTTTGCTAGAATCATCTGACGTGTTGTATATTATCTTACCATATATGCAGTATTCATTATATGACGCTATCACATTTAGCCCTGCTAAGCTTGCAAACAGTCATGCCAAAGTACTTTTTATTCTTTATAATATTCTGCAGGCCATGAAGGCTTGTCACTTAGGAGGCTTATCAAGCGGATCCATTTCATTATGCAATGTGGCTGTTGACGAAAAACTTTGCGGTCAGCTAAGGCCTAACTTTATTGATTATGAAAGACAAATTGATAGCCCATTGAGTAGTAGAGAAGAGTCATCAGATATCACTGATCAGGTGAACTCTAGTGGGCCGTGTGTGCCATGCAACCGTGAGCTGAAAGACATGGTTATCGACTGGATTCATGGAAGGGTTAGCAATTTTGACTACCTTATGTATCTAAACAGACTTGCAGGCAGAAGACAAGGAGATCCAAACTACCATCCAGTCTTACCGTGGGTTGTTGATTTCACTACCAAAAATGGTAAATTTAGAGACCTGAAAAAATCAAAATTCCGTCTAAACAAAGGAGACAAGCAGCTGGAATTCACATATGAGATGACAAAACAGGCATTTGTAGCAGGTGGTGGTAGTTCAGACCAGTTGCATGTTCCTCACCATATCTCAGATGTTCTCTCAGATATCACATACTATGTATATAAGGCTAGAAGAACCCCAAAAGCTGTTCTTTGCAATCATGTGCGTTCTCAGTGGGAACCAAATGAATATCCAGCAAGCATGGAGCGTATGCAGGCATGGACTCCAGATGAATGCATTCCAGAATTTTACACAGACCCTACTATATTCAAATCTATTCATGCAGATATGCCAGATCTTGACATTCCATCTTGGTGCAGTTCATATGAAGATTTCATAAATGTACACCGAGCACTTTTGGAAAGCAAAGATGTGTCTCAGGATCTTCATCACTGGATAGACCTTACTTTTGGGTACAAGTTGACTGGGAAGAATGCAGTGAAAGAAAAAAATGTTTGTCTTCACCTGGTGGATAATCACACCAACTTAACGTGCTACGGAGTTGTACTGTTGTTTGATCAGCCCCATCCCAAACGCCTTATTGGGCCTAGTTATTCTCATTTTGAAGCTCCTGCGGTTGTTACATCTAGGCATAGCATTGTTGAGATGACTGCATCTAATGACAAACACACTGTCAATGGCCTTGTGCTTGAAGCCACTGCTTGTGAGAGTCCTTGGACCAGGGATAAGGAGAACACAGCAGATGATGATCTAGAGCAAGGAACTGAGGCTCTTGACGCATTAGGAAGTTCTGGAAAAGGTGTTGATCAGGCCACCATATCATCCCTCCAAATTACTAGCGTCAGTAACTTCTCAGGTGAAAGTAGAGCTCCTCCTGTTAGGTCAAACAGGCCATTCAAGGTTGCATCTGAAGAAAATGGTGGAAAAATCTCATTGCCTGAAGGTTTTAATCCTATACAAGCTCTGGAAGAGCTTGAAAAACTTGACAACTTTTTAGTTCGAGGTTTGCACAGCACCATTCTTCCAGTGATAGAATCTACAAACAAGCTTCCAATGAGCCTTTTAGAATTTTTTGAGAGGGATATACAAGCTTTGGGTGTTATGATGGCAGAAATAGTTTTTGCCCCAAGAATTCACAGTATGACCCCTAAATCTCCACTTCTGGAACGATATATTTTAGTCCGCAATCTCAGCAAACATCATGTGAAAGAGATTCCTACGCCTCTTTTACAGATGCTTGATTCTTTGTTATGGCTACATGCCTCAGATGACGAGATTTTCAGCATTGTTGATGGTGAGAGACGGATCAAATTGTTTGAATTCCCTCACATTTCTAATGGTCTTCCACCACCAGCTCCCTCCCAGCTCCTGAGTACATTTTGCTCAACTATTCCTTTCCCCAAGTACTTCCCTAACTTGCATAATTTCATCTTGACTTATCAGTCACGAAGAACAGAAGACGACAGCCAAGGTCGGGAGCTTGTGTTCCAGTTGTGGCAGCAAATCGATGCAATTCTTTGTGACATTACCCCCGAGGGATTGGAAATTGTTCTTCCATTTGTCTTGTCGTTAATGACTGAAGGAAGTACAGCTGTTTACGCAGCATGGTACCTTTTCGAGCCTGTGGCCAAAGCTTTAGGACCAAAAAATACAAACAAATATTTACTGAAGCCACTTATTGCTGCATATGAAAACCCTTCATATATTCATGGAAGATTTTATCTCTACACAGATTGCTTTGTAGCCCAGTTAATAGTACGTTTAGGCTTGCAAGCATTTCTCACCAGTTTACTTAATCATGTACTTCAAATACTTGTTGGAGTAGAGAGCTCAGGTGATGAAGGAAAATTGTCTGGAACAGCTGAAGATGAGGAAAGTGGTGGGGAAAGTCCCGTCTCTGGTGAATTTGGTGAAGGTCGGCAGAATAGTGTGGACCACAGTGGCTCTTCCCATGAACTCTTAGACTATACTTCTGGGGTTAGCTTTCATGATCAAGTTTACCTAGCAGAAAATGAGGACTTTCAAGGGGGACTTTATGTCAATGACTCCCTTCACACACAAGAACCTGAGTCTCTCAGCCTTGGAAGGTTAAGTGACAAAAGCAGTGCAAGTGAAGGAGATGAGAAAGTAGCAGACAGTGACTCCCTCAAAGAAAAAGGGAGCATGAAGTCTGGCAATAGTAGTCAGGACTTAAAACAAAGTGAGGAGTCTGAAGAAGAGGAAGAGCGGGATTCTTCCCCCGGTCTTTCAGAATTAACCCTTTCAGTCAACACGGATGCATCACCTGATACAGTTGTAGCCAATGAAAACCAAGAACTGGAAGAGGATGAACCTGATTTAAATAATCAGACAGAAGAAAAAGAACAGAAGATTTTAATAGGTAAGACAAAACTTCCTAATTTGTAAATCTAGAAAATTGCTTATTCTCCAATTTCCTGCTAACTTTATTATTTAATGTATTTGTGTTAAATAAGAACTGAAATCTAGAAGTGGATTAAACTGAATTGTTGTTTTCTCTTGAGAGTTCAGGTGGCAAGATGTCTGTACATGTGTTCCCAACACCACTTATCCAATTGTTTTGAATAGTGAGGAAGGGTTTGATTCTTTGCCATCCTTTTTTTGTTGTTGTTCCTTTTGTGTCCTGGCGACAATGTTCAATAATCAAAAGAAACCCATCGCACACCTGACAATACCCTCAAGTATTGGGTGGGTGCCAAGCGACCACGCATGCCTCCGCAAATCATTATAAATATGAAGAAGTCACTTGCACTCCAGCTCAAGTTCAGTCAATATTTTATTGACCTCTGTGGTGTCACAACATGGAGATGTTTCGGAACCCGTTTGGCCTGATGAAGTGACCAAACGGGTTCCGAAACGTCGCCATGTTGTGACACCACAGAGGTCAATAAAATATTGACTGAACTTGAGCTGAAGTGCGAGTGACTTCTTCATATTTATACTGGCGAAAATGTTGTCACCTGGATAAGAAGTAAGAAAAAAAATCTTCAGTCTTTTTTGCTGTCGCTTTCTGCAAAATTTTCCTTTACTTCCTGTCTTAGTGACATGTTATCAGGACAGGGAGTGAGGGGAATTCTCACCAACAGGGCAACAGAGAGAAGTGAAAACTAGCAGGTTCTTACTCCTCCTTACACTAACCAAAACAAAAACACACAAGAGACACAATTGTCACATGGTAAGAAGTCAAGAAGGTCCTTTTATACCCCAGGGGTTTTGTCCCCTCTGATACCCCTAATCTTGACACCAGCTTTTTCCTCAGAGTGTGCCTCTCAGTAGGTATACTCGCTATCCAAAATGTGCTTGATGTACAAAGTAATCATTTCGAATTTCACCACCTATAACAATATGATTTGCCCCACAACCACTTCTGCAATATGGACAAATAAGAAATGTTCTTAAGGCACTTTTAGAGTCCAAGCTAGAGTTGCCTAAATCATTTCCCCCATGCTAAGGCAAAACCACCCAGAGGAAAACACTTTCATGAATATACCAGTATCTCAAAGATGTAAAATGTAGTGACCTCATCCTCCACATGGCGTTAAAATTGTCAGCATTGACCCAAAAATTGCCCTTCAGAGACTTGGAGAATATTAACATCAGTTGGACAGACTTGAGAAAGGCGGTAGTTGGAGAGATTTGGAAAGAGGTCCAGCTCAAGATCATCGAGCATATTGGCCCTATAATAACCCTCTCAAGTCGTATTTGCCCACATCACCGCACCGCAGCTGGGGTGGATATTTTCGTGCCAGAAATATAATGGCCAATTCTCAGATTTAACCCAGCCACATCATTGAAAGTTTTTGTAAAAGAAATGACCATGTTTTGTGTATCATGCAATCAATTTAAATGTATTTGGAAACAGTACTTCCTACTAATTTGTGGTACAGTCTCCTTTTGTATAATATTAGCTTAGATTTTAGATTTGCTGTCCTTTTTTAAAGTATCCCTATTTTAATTTCTTTGACTTGGTGTACTACAAAAACTTTTCATAATTGATAACTTTGCATTTTTAAGTGTTATCAGGATAGTTTCCTGTGTACTGTATGTTTATCAGGTTGCACTTTGTTTTACAGATACAGCCTGTAAGATGGTAAGGTGGCTTTCGGCCAAACTAGGTCCAACTGTGACCTCCCGCTGCATTGCCAGGAATCTGCTACGATTACTCACATCCTGTTATGTTGGTAATTGTTTATATTTCTTTTTAAGAAATTGCTGTCTCCTATGCTTTAACTTGATATCTTGGCAGCGAAGAGTGTACTATGGTATTAGAGGGTCGCAGTTAGTGCACACCTGTATGTCATCTATGTTTATTATCGAAGGCCAGTTGATGCATTGTTTAAATGTTTTAGATATATCACGTTAGTAAAAATTGGTCCATTTGATTTGTCACAAGCTAGAATTGATTTGTTGTTTGTTCTGTAACAACTCCTCCTGATTAGAGCTCAATCTTTTTGCATGGCCTTGCACTGGGAACAAGCCATTCTGCCTCCACACTGCAGCTTTCTTTAGACACAACTGGCTGTACATGTTTGATTCGGCTGCTGAACAATGTTTTGTTTTCCAAAATTTATGTTCTTATTGTGCGAACACTGGGCGGCAGCACTCGAGTGAGAGTGATTAGAAGTGAAATATCCAACCTTGTTGGTTGCTGTAGTCCCTAAGAATGCTTAGCCTGGGGAATGTGTGCTGGAATTGGGTAGGTTTACAGATGTGAGATATTTGTCTGGTTCATCTGTACCTAGTCATGTCGGGGGAAATTATGTGTGCGCTCTTATTTGGTTTGCAGTTTGTCATATCTCTATCCAGAAATAGCCCATGTTCAGCTATTACTCCCGATCATCATTTATTTTCTTATCAGTAGTCAGGGGCTCTTTATTCTCACAATTCTTTTGCATCACTAGTCATTTAACATGGTAATTCGTAGTTTCACGGCACAAACTGGACATAGACCTCAACTGCAATAGGCCTTGAGGGTGGAAAACTAGTCTATTACATACGTCAAAAATATGTTGATTTAAATTGAGTGAGTGTCACTTTGCATTAATATATTCATGATTCTTATCACACGCAGGTCACCAGAGACATCAGTTCCTGTCTAATGTGGAGGAGAATAGTCCACCAAATGTCAAGAGGCCAGTGTATGGTGATCAGGTGTCTAGGCCTGTGCTAGACTGCCTTATGCATATGGCTCATCTCTATGGAGAACCTTTTCTTACCTATCAGTATCTGCCTTACATAAGCTACCTGGTAAGTTGAAATTTCTGCAGAAAGCCAAGCAAAAAAAAATCTATTTTACATTGATGGAAGCAATTGAAATGATACTCTGAAGGAATGCTGCTCAACCGTACACCAATATTAAATAGCATTTACATTTTTTTTTGTAATCACTGTTTAGTATTCAGATTTGAAGGACATTTCCGCCAGCTGGTGTACGATCAGCCTGGTTTAATAAAGGAACACACACATGTTTTCCTGTTCTTTCCTGCACACTAGGTTCTTCTGCCTGTGATAAGTAGACAGACCCATAGAAGTCAGTGAAAAACGTGTCATCCAGCCATGGGAATCACAAAAGTGGCAAGATAGAATTACAAATCCATTTTCGGCAGATATGGCTGGTCTCATGTTTATTTCACTTGTATTTTAGCTGGTTGCCTGGATTCCAGCGTTAGCTTCTACTTGTTGCAGAGCCTGCACTGTATAATATAAAAAAACTCCTAGCCTTAGTTATACAATATTACAGCCAAAATGTTGGTTCTGTAAAATGTGAGGCAGAGAAGGCTGACTATAAATAGTAGTCTTCTTATGCACTGGACTTCTTAAAGTGTGTCTTAATTTGCAATAAGAGGCAATCAAGAGTGTGAAATTCGCAAAGAAGAAGCAGGAAGGAGAAATTGCAGTGTTCCTGCTGGCGGCACAAAGTACAAACCCAGGATAAAATTTAGCATTTTCATTTCCTACATTGGCTTTGTAGTAGTACATTGTTTTGTGATTCTTAACATGGACATTCTAGTATATGTTATCCAGGTCATCTTGAATCTTAATGAAAGCATTGTCTTTTATTTTTTTATAATTAAAGGTGCACCGAAATTGAAATTTAAAAAACGAAACCGAATTAAAAAAAATGGTCAAACCGAAAATGTTTTAATTTTTGTCAAATTTTTCAAATATTTTATTTTTATTTATTTTTTATAAACTTTTTTAAATTTTTTTATATTTCTATTAATTTTTTTATTAAATTATTTTTTTTTACTTTCTAAACAGACCCCTGATATTTCCCTTTTTAAAATAGAAAAAGAGATTGAGAACACAGAGTCCTCCATCTCTTTTTTTTCTGTATCCCCTGTTATCAATGAATAAGAATCTTCTGAGTGTTCCTGTTCATTGATAACATGAGGACAGAGTTTGTTTACTATATCCACAATCATGAATGAACAGGAGGAGATGTAGATCACTTCCCATTCATTCATAATTGATACCATATCCTCAATTACGTACAAACACTCAGCGATCACTGATTACCGAGTGTTTGTACCGCTCAGCCTCCTGTGACAGCGCTGGCTGTCTCTGCCCCCACACCTCTCTGCCGTACTGTGAAAGGCTGTTGAGCGGTGTGGGAGACACCGGGCGCTCACAGCGCTCTCCTCCCGCAGCGCTCGATCGGCTGTCACTTTCTCTCCTCCCCGCTGGGACACAGAGCAGCGCCCAGCGGGGAGGAAAGAAACCTGGGATGCGCCGATGTAGCGGCAGGAAAATGGCACTTTCGGCATTTAGCCAAAAGTGCCATTTTCGGCCGATATATCGGTGCATCCCTAATTATAATACAGGATTTATATAGCACCAACCGTTTTCTCAGCCTTTTACACTAAAAGGAAGACATTACAGTTACAATATAAATGTTAAAAGGGCCGTGCCCGTGAGAGCTTACTGTCTAAAAATGACTTATTTCAGTATATTCTTTTATCTTTTTTGTTTTTTGTTGTTTTATAGCAAATGCTGACAGCAGCACATTGATCATGCACACCAAATGAAGATGTATTAGCCATTTTTTTAAAATTTTTCAGCCAAACTATTCAATTTTCTAAAGTAATGTAAATATGTGACAAATGATGCTGTACATATTTCCTTCAGTGTTTGGATACCTATTTTTTTGCTTCTAATCCTAAAATCCTGAGATAGAGGAGATTAACAGCAGGCATAGAAATAATGCCTGCTAAAAAATTATTTCATTGATAAAAAGAAACGCATAACTGCATTAGTGTATATTTTTTATAAGCTTGGAGTTCATTTTTTAAAATCTTCTTGACTGGTATTTCCCATCTTAAATAGCTGACAAGTTCATTGTTCCTTTTTGTCTGAACTTACTGAAACATAGAGCTAATCTACAGGTAGCAGCCAATAAACACCAAAAGCGCCAGCTCCCTGTGTCCAAATGTCGGAGAAAAGTCTGCTAGAATCTCAGAACAAACCGCAGATGGGGCAGCTCTCAGACAGGCCACGGGGAAGCCTCAACTCTGGAAGAAACAAAAGACAAAGAGCGCCTCCATCGCGTGTAAACGCTTTAATAAATGAATTAAACACATAAAATCATAGTCACAAAAATTGAGTTTTTACAGGCATGAATTGAATAAAAATACGAGCAGTTGAGCCCACCGGCTGCTCTTCCTCCCTGAGGTTAGGTTAACGTTTCTGAGGCCACGCCTCCATCATGGTTCTGATGAAGGAGGCGTGGCCTCAGAAACGTTAACCTAACCTCAGGGAGGAAGAGCAGCCGGTGGGCTCAACTGCTCGTATTTTTATTCAATTCATGCCTGTAAAAACTCAATTTTTGTGAGTGTGATTTTATGTGTTTAATTCATTTATTAAAGCGTTTACACGCGATGGAGGCGCTCTTTGTCTTTTGTTTTTTAATCTACAGGTACCCTTGGGAAGGATAAAGGCCTACTGCTAGGGAAGATTGTTTACACTTTTTTTTCAGTGGCTGATCAAATATGGGTATGAGAGTGTGTTTCTGTGAGTTTTAACAAGCCTATCAATGTGACACTGTACATGTGAAGTCTGTAACTGAATTTATATTTCATGTATAGTCAGTTCATCAGTTGGCTTTGTTCACATGCAGGTGGCTCCTAGCAGTGGGTGCAGACTGAACAGCCGCAAGGAAGCTGGTCTCCTAGCTGCTGTCACCTTGACTCAGAAGATCATCATCTACCTTTCAGACACTACTTTGATGGACATTTTACCCAAAATTAACCTGGATGTCCTACTGCCAGTTTTAAGCTTCCTGACTTCCACCACTGTTGGGTAATGTACACTGTATATTATACCGTGTTCTGAACAAAAACAAAAGCCAAAATTGAGGTTACCTAATGCCAAAACTGCACAACAAACTGATTAGCAGATCAAGAGATACTCATGGCTGCAGTTATAAGAAAATGATCCAAAACCAACATTTTGGTCTTATGTTATTAGCAGCCTTACTTGACCCATAGGGAAGCTCTGGAGGTGGGAGGGGCCAAGCTTGACTTTTATAGGAAAATATTGAGCTTTCTCATAGCTTAGGATCTACTGATAATTGTGGCATCATTTTCTAAATTGTTAATCAAGGAGCACAGAATCAGTAGAATTCAGGAACACTGAGTTATACTGCCACTTTTAGGAGAGATTGGCTACTGACAAACAAAGCCAGTGGCCATCCAGGTGTAACCCCTCCCACTCCCATAGTGCTTCAGGTTTATATTAGTGTCCTAGGAAGATCGTCATCTTATCTCCTTGGAGAGAAGTAGACCCATTTTTTTATTAGACATTTTTACTTTTATTAAGACAATTGTTTGTTAGTTATTGAGCTGAGACATGTTATGAAGCATTCTGAATCGGTTGATCCTCCACATCGCCTTGAAAAGCTTTACCCAGACTCTACCAGGACGAACATGGGAGGTCTGCCTGTAATGGTACTTTTGGGTGCTTGGCTCTGTTTTGTGGTGCTCCATAGACACCTTGTGTACTGGTTTGTTACCTGCAGAGTGCTTTACAGGTCCTGGCTATGACTCACCCGCTTATGTGAATCTGTTCCCTGTAGACTCACTGGGGAAGTATGCTTCGTGAGGGACGAAGACTGCCTGGAACGTGATATATTCACTGGGTTCTGCATATGGCACTCTCCAATACTTAGTTACTGTGCTTGTTGGCCAAGACCTGTTTGAGACAAATCTCAACTCAAGCAGTTCTCTTCAAAAGACAGATTGCTTCTTACTCCCTTGTCAAGGCCTTTGCACAAGATGTAGCTCGCATAGTTCCACCTGTATGACCTACGTTGACTCTGTGGGCTCTCAATCTGCTTATATGGGCTCTTCAAAGACCTGTTGTGCAAGTTTCTGATTTGTATTATTTTTATATATTTGCCTGAAGTTCCTTTAATCATTTGACTGCCAAGGATTTGTACTATAAGCAATGGCTCTATTTCTAGATAGCAGCTAAAATGTGGGGTACATCTTGGCAATTGGAGTTAAAACAAGCTCAGGGACTGAAATAGCAGCCATGAATTTATTATAAATTCAATCTGTGGCCTGCTTTTAGAAGAAGTGATCATAGCAGCTATAGTGTTTTTTAGTCACTTGTACAAAGTGAGAACAGGGACACCTCATCACTGTTCTCCTGCTCATACCAATTACAAGATTGGTGTCCTCTTCTGTTGCCTGTCTCAAAGCTAGCTCTTGAATTCAGGATGGCAAGCTGTGTATCTGTAGTTTTATGGTATGCTGTGTGGTTTAGGTATACACTGAAAGAGCAGAAAAAAATGAATAAAAGAGCAATATAATAATTGTTCTTTTGTAACCAATCTGGCTTAAACTTAAAATTTTGACATTATAAATATAAATGAGATTGTTTACTAGGGACAATACATGCAGCTTCCTTCTTTCAAGTTTCTGTAACAGTCCTTAGAACAGTAAGTAATTGTGATCATTCACAATATGAGTGTTTGATGTCTTTTGTCCTCTGAAATAATCAGTTTAACATAAATTACCAACACGAGGGAAGCAAAATGCATTTTAAAAGATTATAGACAAAAGACTATTTCCTCTTTTCAGTGTAGAAATTAAAACGAGAATCACATGTCTGAACACTCCTCCTTCCTAGTTTAATTTCATAGGAAAGACAAATTTATAGCAGGGTTTCATGAGAAGTGGGTACAACTTTGAGTAGAAACTCAAGTGTTTTTCAAATGTTTTACAAGGACGTATCCATCCTTCATGTCTCCTTATGAAAAGGATAGGTAGAGAAACCCTCCGCGCACCTCACAGCAGTCCAGGCCTTTGTAGAAGATGGTGCTCGCAGTGATAACCACGGATGGCGCCGTGCAGACACAGAGTAGAAACAAAAATCACCAGCATTCGCCGATATCATTCAACATGTCCATTTAATTGGACAAAACGTCACGGTAATAGAAGCCAAAGTTTCGGGACCGCACAGGGTCCCTTCCTCAGGGTGAAAAGACGTGACAACATAGAAACATGTAAGAACCACATGTATACCCCCCATGAAGTTTACCAATTACCTGTAAAGCACCTCCCTGTGACATCATCATGGCGGGAAATTTGCCATGGTTAAATGAACAGTAAAAACAAAAAAATGAAAAAGTATATCTAACAATCGTAATATGCCCTACCTGATAGTACGATGATTCATGCTGAGGTTCAGGATGCAGGGTAAGAGGACAGCCAGCGCTAAGAAAAAAGTATGGTCTCCATACTCGCATTGGAGATCGAGGGAAGCTGCATAGATCTCCGCCCCTTCAGCCCAATGCGCACGCACAAACCATCTTAGTCATCTGTTACCCTGGAAATAGGAAGAAGCGTCTCTCACCCTTCTGGAAAGCACATAAGCGGGGACAATGCATTCAGGTGCTGGGTAGAGTGTGGGAAGAACAAGTGAGTGCCGTAGGCTAACACTGAAGCCTGGACATCGCAGACATCTGTAGCAGCCCTGTTTAGTGGAAAACCTATGTGGCGGGGTGGCATACTTAGTATGAGGATCAGTGCAAACTAAGTAGTCTCGAAGAGATCTATTCCCAGAGTAAACTATGTGTGGTGTATATTTTAATAGTGGGGACCAAGGTTCTATCGGCTTTAAGAATATTCGTATTACGTTGTAATGTGCGTTTCACCTGATGTGAATACGGATGAAAATTAGTAACAAAGTATTATTGGGATGTGCCTCCTGTGAGTTTAGGTGCTTGGAACCTGGTTTTTGCAACTCCCAAGTGTATGATCAAGCACATGGTTGGGATAACCTCTATCACTACATTTTTTTATACATCTTTTATAATTGCAATTCACAATCAGTGGAATCTGAACAAATACGCATAACCCTGATAAACTGAGAGATGGGCAGAGAATCTCTCAATCTATCAGGGTGTGCACTACTGTAGGAAAGCAATGTGTTGCGGTCAGTGGGCTTAGTATATAAAGAGGCGATCTGTCCCTAATTGAACACAATCATCACATCCAAAAAATAAATTTTTTGAATGTGACTTCTCGGGGTTGAACACAATACCCTCTGAGTGTGTTGAGATATTGTATAAATATCTGTATGGTATCACTGGGTCCAGACCATATCAAGAAGATACCATCTATGTATCTTGTCCACAGTCTCGCATGTTCGAAGAATTCTGATGAATATATAAACTGATCTTCCAAATACCCCGTGAACAAATTTGCATAAGATGGGGCAGCCTATAGCGGTGCCCTTTGACTGGAGAAAGTACTGTTTCTCAAACGGAAATAGTTGTTCTCAAGCACAGGCCTCAATCCCTCCAAGATTAAAGCAGTCGGAGGGGATGGTGAGTCTCTCCGAGAAAGAAAGTATTCAACAGCCTGTAATCCCTTGGTAGTTGGAATACATGTATACAAAGAAGATACATCCATTGTTAATAACATCCAACCTGGATGGAAAACATCAATGCATTTCAATTTCATAATAGGATCATTTGTATCACATGCATATGAATGGAGGGCTTTCACCAAGGGTTGGAGAAAATTATCTAATACTGAGCCAATGCCCGCTACTATAGGTCTAAAGGTAAGTGGATTATGTCCCTTATGGATTTTTGGCAACCATATATTACTGGCGTGCGGGCATGTTGATTGTAGAGCCATTCGGAGATGCCCTCAGAGATCCATCTCTGGTTCAGGGCTAGATCAACAAGAGATGATAACTTGTCCAGTATAGATGACAAAGGGTCACGTGGGATTGGAAGATACGTGGATAGATCTGATAGAAGATCAGATATGCCCATTCTGTAGGTGGCGTAGTTCATGATGATGATGGCACCCCCTTTATCCGCTGGTTTTATGATAATGGATTTGTCCTCTTGCAGCGATTTTTTAAGGAGTCCAATTCAGCTTTATTCAAGTTAGAGGGACATGGGTGGTTTAAATACCCTCCTCCGGTCAATGATGTTGCGGGTGTCATATCTGACAGTTTTGATGAAAGTTTCAATAGAAGCAAATTGACCGGGTGGTATAAATGAGCTTTTGTTCTTGAACTTGATAGTAGATGAATCGATACCTTTAGTACAGTCCTTATGAAAAGGCTTTCTTTAGACTCAGAGTTTCCTCTACTAAAGTACAGACAAGTTTGTAAACTTATCTGTAGACACATAGGGATCTGTTTTATAAAACAAATTTGCTTATGTTTGTATTCATGCAAAATTCACAAATGTTTTTATTATGTGCGAAATTTACCGGTAACTCTATTTCCATTAGTCTTCCAGGACAGCAACTGCCCGCCCATTGATGCTTGTAGTATTAATGTGATGTGGTGGTATTGCCTGTATGTGCCTTGTCTTTTTCCAGCTTGCCTTCGGTTGTCGTGATGACTGAGTGGAGGAGAGGAGGGTCTTTTAAACAGATTAAGTGACGTGTTTCCTGTGTGTGGGGGAGGAGATTCCATCTCGTGATGCTGTCCTGGAAGACTAATGGAAATAGAGTTACCGGTAAGTCCTAACTCTGAATTTTTCTGATACTTTAATTGCTGATAAAACTCTGCAAGTATGTTCAGGAAGGGAATGGGTAAATGGCAACCACATTAAAACGGACTGCAGTAATTGCTCCTAGAGATGAGGTTCCAGATCTCAGTGGGCCTGTTTGCCTGCCAAAAGCAAATGTCCAGCTGCTGGGCATACGCTTCACGGCAGCCATCAGCATTTTAGTAACCAATGATACATGCTGGCAAGAGTGAGTTTCACCATAGCACTCCTGAACAGATCTACCGGAATGCGTGGTTAAAATTGCTTTTTGCCCATG